AATTTGGTCTGTGTCGATTTGCGTTTTGGACATATTTTAGTATAAATCACGTTTAAACAGTCATTTTTATACGGCTACAATTTCCAATTATTATTTCAATCCTTAATTTGAATTATGGTAGGCGAAGTGATTTAGTATATCTAAATGTTGACAATGACCAACTGTAAATTTATGGGTTTTCTTTTTTTAAGTACTTATCCATAGCACGCTTTGGAATGAATTTTTAGAGATTTTTATTTATTTATTTATTTATTTTGTAATTTATTTTGCAATTTTTTCGCAATTCGTTCGCTTTTTAATTCATGTGAAATATAAATGCGTACTGCATCGTTACTGAGTAGTAAGTTTCCCCTTAATGACGAAAGTAATGTGCACACGTTTTGCAAGATGATCATGTGGTTTTAAGTTTGTTTTGACACAATAACGGGGTTTGCGTGGGTGCTGAGAATTGCGGTTCTATCTGTGGTAATAAACTTGTGCATAATATGCTAAGTAGACATAATCGCTGTGCACAATCAATAGAGAGTAGATGGAGAGAGAATGCTGCCTTGGAGAACGCTCGCTTAACGGTTTTTACCGCTTAACCACACAGTAATTGATACGTATTTTATAGGACTAGTGACACAGTTTACTAAGAAAGCATTTGCATTAGATGATAATGTATGGCATATTTCACCTAAGAGTTCCTCGTGCCATGTCGAAACTTCGAGATATGTTAAAAGAAGCCGAAAAAGTGCCGACTCCCTCTTATTTCAAGTGTTTTCTCTCAATGGCATCTAAGAAATCCCTGAATCGGAATTGATGTTGTTTAATTATATCACGTTCATTTAGATTGAAAATAATGTCGTTAAGTAATGTACTTTCAAACAATTTGGGATTGATCGGCAGCAAGCTTATCGGTCTGTGCAATGCTATTGGAAAGATATCTTTTTCGGTTTAGGTTATCATAACAATAATAGATATTTTTCAATTCGTTGGAAAGTGACCTGTAAGGACAATGGTTTTGAAAATGTGTATTGGAATTTTTAGAGGATTATGCAAAAGAATTTGCGAAATATTTTCGCTGCAATTTCATGTACAGCAGGGCCTCTATTTATTTTTAGATACTTAATAATGTTTATTGTTGTTATTAACTGCAAGAGAACTGTGTGATTAGAGCTTTTGATTTTTGTCAAATACAATATGGTAGGATTCAGTTTTCTTTCAGTATAAGACTAATTATCATTATATCATTGTATATGAATTCCTCACGCAGTAGGGGGCTATTATTAACCATTATATAATGTCTAGCATTGACAGATATTTTACAACATTGCTACGAGTTGATTAATCAAGTACTGGAAAATTGTTTGCCATTGTAAAATTTTGAGCTAGCGTGGCCGCAGTGAGCGAGTTGGACGCTTTTGTTTATGCGGATTTTTTTTGCATAATTAATTTTTGCGAATGCTGAACGAAACAAGAAAAGAACGAAAAGTTTGGTACTCAATTTATTTTTCGTTTGGTTTTTTAGTACTTAAACGAATGCAAACCAATCAGTTACATGTTACTGTGTTAACGGAAGATATATGTATGCAACCAGATGGAAGATTTCTTTTTCGACCAAAAAATATTGCTTGCGTCTCATCCGCATTTACCTTTTGTTCCATTCATTTAGATAATTACACATCATACTAATGCAATTTGCAACTTAAGTATTTTCTATCCAAAGTGGTGTGAAGAGTATTTACCCATATCATCGCTCTGTAAACCACCGTGACAATCGTTAAATTTTGGGAAGTCAGAACAAAAACCGAACAAAAAATTGGACCCAAAACGGATTTTTCCGGAACATCTACAAAAATAGATAATAAATCAGAAAATTCTTCTAAAGGAGAAATCCAGAAATATCTTTCAGACAGAAAACGACGGATTAATTTAATTGCAGGAAGCGGAAAGCCAAGACTACAGAATCGAAGGCTTTTAAAACGTTTTTGACATCTCAGCAAGTGCGCACTCATTGATGTGAAGTATAGCGTTGATTTATATAACCAAAATGTTAATTTCGAACAATACTTTTCCAAGAAATTGTTTTTAACAATGTGGTGATTTAATTATTTGAGTATTATTAATTTAATGACCCTTTCAAAGACCTTGCTTAGAGAACTAACAACTCGCTGATTTTCCATAACTGTTGACGTCATTTGATTGATTCCCTGGCATACAAACTTTGGCCAACATTTCAATATTTGGAAAGTATTGGAGTTGAATGCATAAGTTGATTAAGCCTGTAAAAGATCGTATTCTTTAATGGAGAATAATCTCAATGTCATGACAGAATTAGTTTCAACAGATCCAAATCACTGCCATAGTTATCTAAAGATGAGCATTTCTTGTATCAAATTTTGTACATTGGCAAGCATCACCAATAAATTGGGTAAATTGAGATGTCGCTGCTCACATTTCAACGGTTGTTCGCAACGTGTGATTACAAATTTCCATGGCAACGTCAATTTCTTGTGCCTTTCTCAAAAGGAAACAAGCTGGTACATGTGTGTATTTTTTACCTTTAATCTAACTTGTGTCTTAATTTGGCAGCGAAACTGAGATATTTGTGAAATGGGCGATAGATCTCGAAATCTATCTTTAACAAAGAGCCGCTTGCGTTTCAGTGACATAAGTTGAGTGAAATCATTTTTTGATTAAGTGGGCTTGAACTGAGAGATTTTTGATTATTAAGAACTTCGCCACACTGTCCATTCTAATCATGAATAATTCAATTTATTACATGAGTGAGCTTAATTGAGGCAAAGGTTTAATGCATACTGCAACTGAGGTAGCGGCGGCCATACGGCGCGCTACGTTTGCTCCCCCTTTTACTACCTCGTTCCAAATCGTATGTGTAAGTATAAAGTTTCTGAGGTATTCAACGTCAAAACTTATTTCTTGTTATTAGATTGCTGTGTATGTGTGATGTAAAGCAACAATGACATAAAATACAAGTTGTCAGCCGCTGGCCATTATTAAACGTTGGAAGATTAAGTAAACTGGGCGGTACATATCCTTTCCAAAAGTAAGCTAGCGTAAAAACCGGAATTGGCAATTGACATTTCTAGGGACATAAATCATAAAAATTGGCTTTTTTAAGCCATTGATTTCAGCAGTTTCAACAGGACTATTGAAAAATAAATCCTGAATGAAACAGCAACATACCTTACAGCGTCCCCTGTCCTTGATAATAATCGACATTGTATTCTATACAGTTTCTGGCTGATGTCGGTTTTAAGCAATGCAGCAACCACTTAAGAAATAGTTTGGCAGGGCTGACCATTAAAAGTTAGTAAACCACAGAGAAAAATTTAATGCAAGATTGTTCACAACACATACAAAACGAAAAATGTAATGAAATCAAATCTTACAGTGAGGACAAATAAATTTATATCTACACTCGTACGTGCAAATCAACATAAGCAGCTGATACGCGTTTAATTAAACAAATCCATTGTTCGTTTTGCAGCAAAAAGACAAAAGACAAGTTTTGTGCATATCGCGAAATGTTTTAAATATCCTTTTAATGTATAATCTCCATTCCACAATAAGGCAAAACCTCAATGTGAATAGCACGAAGCTTAATTGAAAGGTTTAAAGAGACAATTACATTTCACTTCTCCCGCTGTTTCTAATGTTATTTCAAATTACTTAACTCGCTTTAAAGCAAAAGACGTCATATGTTCATCAAGAAGTATTAGTGAGATAAACGAACCCTTCATTTTTGAAAATGATCTAAAAAAAATTTTAAGACAGAAGAATTAAATTGAGTCTGTTTATTTAATTAAGGGAGGCATTGCAGTATGTTCGATACATACATTCCTGCATTACAATCATTCGACAAATGTATTACAAGGAAGTAGAAAAATAAACGTTTTGTTCGCATCCCCTATCTACAGTATAAACAATTAAACCGGTGTTCCTTCCTTTCCTTTAAAAATATGCTTTAAATCTTTGATTGTGTTGGATGATATACAGTCATGGGCGCATATATATCGCAGACTTCACTATAAAAGTGAACACAAAGACTTATTACATTGCATTTATCCCATCTATAACTTAAGTTGTAAAAAACAAGTTAAAAGTGAGCGGCCACTTGAAAAGTAATACAAGATAGCGGAACAACCTTTGTTTCTAGAGAGAAGAAAAATTTTTTAAATATTTAAATATTGAATGACTTTCCGTATTCACCTTATGTATGTACTGCTGTTTAATCTATTCTGTTAATATTTGTCTTACCAATTTACAATACCTTCCCCGTACACGAACGTTGTCATGTGGTATGTGAAATAAAGAAAAATGGTACATATGTCGCTTCGACAGAGTAGCGCTTCTTCTTCTAATTCATCCAAAAAAACTGAGTATCATTTAAGGGCTTTCTTACCGCCACGCCTAGTACATATTCCTCGTTACTTTAGTTCGCTATTAATCAAGAGGATCTTAACGAAATTTACTGTTATCGACTTTGTAAAAATAGTAGGTTATATTATATAGTTTTTTAAAATACTTGTGTAGTGTATAATATAAATGTGTTTATGGCTAAATCCATATTCTCACTTCAACACTTTAGATTGATAAACCTTTAAAGCAATTCGTCGTTGAAAGAACACTTGCTACAGAAGTTACAAGAAAAAGTTATTTACTAAGAAAACTTAATTAATTGATACTTCATCCTATATCTATGTGTTTGCGAGAAATGTTATTATTGAGTATAGAATTTATTATTGTATTAAATATTGTAAATTATTACCTGTTGTAGTATTGTCCACAATCTGGTGTCGATTTTGATACTTGAATGCCTATGAATATATTTGCAGAAATAAGTAAATAATGTTTGTAGTGTTCCCTTATTCAGATCATAGGTGTTCCGTATCAAAATCGACTTCTGATGTTCAATTGATTTATAATGGCAAAATTAATGATAAATGAAAAACATTGTGCTTAGAGAAAAAAGATAAGTTTTTATGTTTAATAGCTTACTGCGTACGACACTCGCTAGGAATATAAAGAAAATTGGCATCGCTAGCGTCTACGACCGTGGGTCCAACATTAAATGAAGCTTTTAAAAGATCAATATCAGAATGTTCGCCAGAGCCAAAACCAATACCACCGATACAACCAACGCCTATATTAGTGCCAGTAGCACAATCGACACCAGCGCAGACGCTAGGGCCGTTAATGGTAACAGCAGATGTCAAGTCGGGCGTGTTAATGCGCCTACCATTTTTGATGGTTTCTTTTCCAACGCCCCTGCCGCTGCCGATGTGACTGCAGCTATTATTATAATTGCTACGACTGGTGCATTGCTTTTTAGCATTCTCAATGATCGGAATGTTTGCATCACCACCGGCATGGGTACGCCTACTGCTGCTATTTTGAGATGTCTTGCTACTTAATTGTTTTTGAGATTCGTTAATTGGAGTTCTTTGGCTGCCCTCGCAGATATCAAAGTCATCGTTACCGCCATTAATCAACTTGTTACTTCTACCGTTATGATAGCTTCTTTGATGGCCAGGTGAATTATAATGACTGCTGCTGTCTCCTGCACGTTTGTAGGAGTCAGCAGCAATGCTAATGTTTTCATTGGATTCCTTACCAACAATGCCGCCACCACCAAAGTCCGATTCAGCGACGCTGTTAGTAAGCTGTTGGGAATTAGAGTTGGGCGATGAAGATGGCTCATATTTGCGTGGACGGCCTCGTGACAAGTGACGCCGTTTAACAAATTCACTGTCATCTACCATCCAGAAGGAGCCAAAGTCATCCTCGTAGCGCACAAAGCACTTGTGCAATGACAAATTTGTGCGAATGGCATTCTATAAGAATATAAGGTATGGTTTTCGGCGGTATTGTTAATATTTTGGCAAAGGCAGCAATTTATTAACGAATTAAAAAACGATGAAAAAGTGTAGATTAATGGAAAAATGACAAAAATTAGAGAAAATAGGAAGAAAATATCAAAAGACAGTGTAGATTACACAATAAGATAAGAAATTATTTCACATAAGAATTGAATAAAATAAATAGCGGATAAGTATATTTTCCACCACGACTATCATCATACCTTAGAATCTAAAGTTTGTCTCGTTTTTTCCTTACATTAAACAGAATATTTATCACTATAACTTAGAGATCCGAGAGAACGTTCTCAATTTATTACATGTCTGAAATTTCAATTTTCAATTAATAAGATATTGTGCAAGACCAGTCAAGGAGATTGTTTAATTCGTTGAATGGTATCAAAGTTAGTCACGACATAGTTAGGATTCGTGGCTTTATGTATATCAATTGCATCCCCTTTGAACTTAAAATTGAGCGCTTTATGTGTTCCCAATTGCATATTTTTCTGAACCTGTATTTACATTCTAGGCTATTGTTAGTAAGGTTATATTATGTTTATTGAGGAGGTATCTTTTTTTTCACAAAATATATTTTTCTTTCACAAAATCCTGTTATGGAAGACGGGCATAATTATTAAAACAA